CCCCCCCCCCTACTCAGGCCACAGCAGCGCCAGCTTCGCCATGCCTGATCCCAGTACAGTACAAGTATCAGGCTCCGCCCGGCCGTCACCCCCCTGAAGCTCCCCCCTCGATAGCTGCCAGTCCAAGAAACCGGCGGCGGGAAGGGGCCAAGCTCGGGGGAGTCCCGACAAGCGGCAAGAGTCGGGCCCAGAAGGTCAATCCAGAGAGGGAGCAAAAGAGCGCCCCAGGAACAGCGAACTTCATCCTTACCCCGAAAAAGGTGAGTGTTCAAGGAAGACAGTGGGCGATATCTCACTCCGCCTTGGATGGACCTATCTTCCTCCCCACCAGCTTTAGCAAAACGACGACTGAATCACTTGTTTCTGGTCATGGTAATTATCATCGCAATTATCCTGTCCAAAACAGATTGTTTTCCCTGTGTCATGCTCTCTTCAGTTTTAAACTAGAACAATGGGGAGGGAACAATTGTGCTGTGACCTGTAAACGCAGATTTCTGCACTTCTCCCTCGTTGGACTACTTTTCCCATCATTCCAGGTAGAACTGGACTACAATTCACATCAATCCAGATAGCACTGACAAGAGTTTGGGATGATGGGGGCTATAGCCCAACAATATCTGGAGAACGAATGGTTCCACAGTCCAGACCCAACAAAAAAACAGCATAATATTTGACAAATTGCAGTCCTCAGGTGAAGTATATATGAATATATATGGGGATGGTTGTAGAGGTCAAAGGGAGAAGAAATGGAAAATTTATAGATAGTACTGGGAAAGTAGCCTGAAATGTCTGCCTCAGTTCCAGCATATTGTTTCTGCACTGTATTCGTTGTTCAAACAAAGACATGAAGCTTGGCTGTTTCTTTAGTGAGGATATTTGAAATGCCTTTTACTTACTCCCTATATCAGGAGAGAAAGAGTGGGCAACTTGTGACCTTAGGGATGTTGCTGGACTGTAACTCATCGTCCTTCCTCAGCATAAAATAGTGAGGGATAATAGGAACAGCATAGCATCTGGAGGATCAGATGTTAGTTGCTCACCCCTGCAAGAGAGTAGTGCCTCTATCAGTAACAATTAAAATGTCACAACATTTCCAAAGGGATAGTAATCACTGAAGGGATGACTGTGTTAGTTCTGTTGCTGCAAAATTTGGTAGCAAACCGAAAGATTAACAAAAAGCATTTTGTGTATTCAATACATAAACAGCAGCATCAATGTTTATAAATAAGCATACACTTTGTTAACCTAAACTTTATGGTGGTGCCTTAAGGCAGACTTCCTAGGCTGTCCTCCCCCATGTCATTTTATCTTGTTTTGTTTTTGTTTCACATATTTGAAGATCTTAAATTGCCCAGATCTCTTCTTGAGACTGGTTATATTAGTCAAAACAGGCAGGAGAGGAGAGAGAGAAATTTAAGTACAGTGCTAAAAGTCCCCAAGTCTGAAGTCTATTAACATTATTAAGATGGAGTACAAAGGATTGTGTAGCCAGGTTGCCACAAACCTGTTGATCTCCAGATCTATTAATTTTTTTCATCATCTCCATGATAAAAACTAGTCCAACATCCCAAGGGCCAGTGGTGTAGAGGGAAATCTGGAAGTGAAGGTGCACAGCCTGATATTTCTAGTAGCCTTCCCCCCACCCCAAGAAGAGCCTTGAAAGGGAGGTAAGCTCGGTAATTAATTAATTAATCCATCCATATCAACAATCCAGCACTTTTGATCAACATCAAGATGTCAGTCTTGCAAAAATCTAAGAATTGCCTATGCATGATCAAACCACCTCCAGATACTTTCATTATAACAGGGAGAGCTCAGAACTGCTTCTCCCAACCCCACCACAGGTACGGTCAAGACTGCAGGTCACAGAGAATGACACTGTCCCACAAATGTTGGAGTGGGGTGATGGAACTGACTCCAAGACACTACTTACTGCAGAAGTTAGTAGCTCTGGAGGGCTATGTGAGGCACTGACTTGAATTGTTCTGTCTCTGGTAAGTGCAAACAGAGATCAGATTACACGGAAGGCTGCTGGCACAAACCAAGAATGGCTGTACCCATTTGGAAGAAGATGTAATTCAGAGTGAGGGGTAGCTGTTGTTGCTAAATTATGTGCAACTTAATGGTGCCTCCCACTAAAGGGGCAGTAAATAAATGAATTTAATTAATTAATTAATTAAAATCTGATGTGCAAATAAAGTCTAATGTGATTAAGTCTGCCTAACACCACCTGCACGCAAGGCTGTTAACAAAGGGCAGACCTTCCTGATTTAAAAGTATCTTCTCTATGTGTATGTTTCTCTTCATATCCAGTGCAAAAAAGAATACAGTGAATTATTTTGCAACATTTCCATCAGTGCAATCTTTAGGAAGTCATGGCCTTTCGTCTGCAGGGTCAGGGTAGGGTTGCCAATGATAGGACCTTTTGGGGTTCATTATTTCATATGGTCACCAGCTAGGGTGAGGGAACCAGGCCTTTGCTCCAGGGCCATAGAATTTAGAGGGCACTGAAACCTAAAGGTGAATGTACTCATGGGTGTTAGGAAAATGAACAGGACCACCCACCCCCGTGCCCAATCCACTTTCCTTTCTTTTCTTTTCTTTTTTTGGAAGCATAAACTTTATCTTTGTTTTGGGAGGACACCACATTCTCATTCTCCTTTTTCACACAGGGAGATTGCACTAATGCCTCAAGGGAGGGTGGGTGGGAGATGATGTCATCTTCCACTGGAGCTAAAATGCCTTGTCATAGCTCTCATCAGAAGTGTAACAACAACGACAGTTAGTATTCCCCCTTCTATAGGTTTGCTTCCCCAAAAATTATTCCTTAATTATTGTATTCATGTGTGGTTCATATATAATTTATATATAGGTGTTTATTTCCCATTTAAAAAAAAATGTTAGGAGACTCATTGCGGTCAAGCATTGTGTTGTTACTGTCACTGAATTCTCTTCCACTCAGCTGCCTATTGTGGACACACAGGCCGGGCCATACTGACAAAACAGGGAGGTGAATATCTGTATACTGTACTTTGATACATTTGACAAGAATGAAAGAGTTCAAGAATGGATATTGTGTTCTAAGAAATAAAGAAATGAGGGTGTTTTCAGCACTGTGAGTATAAAGTGTAACTGCTAACATACCTATTGTTTTCACTTTGCTTACAAAGTAGAGAGAAAGGCCTTGGACATATTATTATTTTCTGGACTACAGCACACATACACCAGCCAGCATCACCACTGGCCATGCTGTCTGTAAGAGTTTTGGAGGTGTCATCCAAAAACGAATGTTTTTCCCCAAATGCTGAGACTGGACACAAGTACTTTCTTCCCTTAAAAACATTATGCAACCAGTTGTAGTGCATCCAACTTGGATGCCAGACAGAAGGTGGGGTGGGGAGCAAAGTTATGAACTGTGTACTTTGCAGTTCCACTGAGCTGCTGCATTTTGAAAAGAATAAGCCATTGCGTTCCATGCTGCTTTGACCTTCTAGAAAAAGAAGGGACATCTGGTAAAGTGTGCAGTGGAACAAGGAAGTAAACATAACTCTGCAAACAGGGGAGGCACCTCAGACTGCCTGAGCTCACTTTAAGTTTCCTGAGCAAGGCACACCAGAGTAAAACCTTATGTAATTAATTAACCATTATTTCCAATGGAATTATCATGTAGAAGCTGTCACAGAGCATGCATTATTTGACATCAGCTATGCAGATGTCTCAAGGCAAGCGACTTTTCTGTGTTGCCTGTGAGACAGGAGTTAACTTCCCTTACTCTCAAGGGCAGGGAGCAGAAGCCTGTTTTTCCACTCCATTACATTCCTTTTAACCCTCACATACAGTATCTCCACTTGAAGAATGACTTTATCATCTATTGCTGAAGAGAGATGCAACTTTTCAGGAGAAAAAAATAGCAATGACAGTTCCAAAATAGGTGGATCACAAAAATCACACACTTTAAAAAATATTTTTAAAATGTTTATTTATTTTTATTAATTCCCATCACACATTTTGAGCCATAAAGTTATAGGGTTGTATGAGAAACATATAGAGCAGGGATGGAGACCATGTACCCTTGCCCCCCATATTGTGAACTCTAAAGTCCTAGTCACCAAAGAGACAACGTGAAGGGTAGTATGAGTTGCAATTTGACAGTATCTGAATGGCTGTGTGATCTTGAGTCAGAGCAACTTCTTCCAGATAAAGACAGAAACTTCTCCTTAGGACCCTCTTGGTAGAATATGCTTTGTGGGAGGGGGGGGGACACTGATGCAGTTCAATATATATATAGTTTGTATAGCATGAACAATATATATAGTCTGTATAATATGCACATATGATCTCAGAGATTGCACTAGAGTAAGTGGTGTATACATTGTTTTACAGCACATAGGCAGTCCTCTTCCTATTTTGCTCTCACAGCTAGGGTGTTGTGTTTTGTTTCATTTTGTGTGTGTATTACTATTATTTTTTAATCAGGCTGCAGTTTTACTAATCTCTGTTATTAAACCATGTATCCACCCACTCAGAGAAGTTTATTCACTCAAATACTTTGAATATTTTCTCTTATGCAACTAATATACAAACACAGTAGCTTCATAATCATGTTATCTATCTTTTATTTTACTGGATGGATTTTTATTTTATGTATAAAATGCCTAATCAACTCAGTACTAAATGTGATGCTTACCCTGTTTTACTACACACAAACACACCTCACCACATAGTGTTTATACCACTCAATATTAAATTATTATTTAACATTTTTTAAAATGTCAATATTAACTTGTAACATGAATGTTGTATTAACTGATATTCCCAAATATGCCCAAGTGTCCTTAGCTTTGCAGGTTTTCAGAATCTTTTTAAATGTACTTGCATGGATTCAGAAATTTAAGTAATTGCTCTCTAGTGCAATGTGTTTTAGATCAGATTCTAAATTCTCATTTACAGTATATAAAAACACACACAGTAGACTATTAGCTTTCATCAGAGGCTTATGCAAAACAGCTAAAGATTCTCTGCACAACTGTTAAAAAAACCCTAATATCCATTAGACCAGGCTACAAATAAATGTACAAACATATTTACTTATTTAAAATATATATTACCCCCCTTTCTCCTTAAAAAGGCCCAAAGTGGCATACATCACTAAAAAAAGATTTTAAACCTAAAAACAGTAAGTATACACATATTTTAAAAGATCAAACAAATTCCACACTAAGAATTTTAAACAAAACCAAGACCAAAAACAAATTCAAAGCAACGAGGCATACCCCTGCATTTACAACCCCTCTCAGATAGCCAATTGTTAAGGGAAAGGCCGTCTGAAGAGAAAAGCCTTTGTCTGCTTATGGAAGGATGTGACAAGAAGATGTGCAATAGTGGCCTTTCCCATGCGGACTGGAACCACATATAATGAACATCCAAAGGAAAGGATACTTACATATGGTTTCCCTCTTCTGCTCTCTACATATTCCTTTAATTATCTTATTATGTACATTTCATCTGTGCCTTTTCCATACATGGCTGTCCTCTTCACCCAATAATCTCACAACAAACCAGAAAACTAGGATGGCTCATGGACTAAGTCGAGGAAATTGTGCATCACATCCAGATTTCAGGGGGATGAACCATCAATGCCTAGGAAAGACTGGACTACAATGGTAAGTCAAATCAGAGCAATTCAGCTTTGCATCGGCTTGATTTGCAGTGTCTTTTATGACAACATTCGGTTTAGGTGACCACATGAAGACCCCAGATTGTTTCAGTGCCAGCGTCCAAAGGGGAGGACAGAGTGGCATCGCTAGGGGTTGGAAAGGGAAAGTAGTAAGTGGACAAAAGGATAAACATCACCCTCCCATTCTTGCCTGAAAATCAACACACAGTCATAGGTTTCATTGCAGTGTCTTTTATGACAACATTCGGTTGAATGTTGAAGACCCCAGATTGTTTCAGTGCCAGCGTCCAAAGGGGAGGACAGAGTGGCATCGCTAGGGGTTGGAAAGGGAAAGTAGTAAGTGGACAAAAGGATAAACATCACCCTCCCATTCTTGCCTGAAAATCAACACACAGTCATAGGTTTCAAAACTCCATGCTGATCTGAAAACATTTTCTGATATTAGGGATCTTCTGGGTATGACATTTGTTCCACCTTAAAGATCAAGATGTGCATTGATCTTTTTTTGAAATGATCACTACATCCAAATGATATTCCCCTTATTTTGCTTTCTCCTATGTTTTCTCTGCAAGTTCCTATCCTGTTTTGTTCTTCCCACACCAAGGTTTATCTTTTGTACCATTTTATGCTGGAAATAAGATTTAGCACTATCATGCTTCCCAAAGCAACAAAGTATACAGAAACACAACAATGGTGGAAGCTTGTTGGAGAACTGGGATAATACAGTATAAGCTTGTGTAGTTGGTGAAACCACATATCTTCAAGTCACATGTTTAGCGCTAGACAGTTAAAAGGATGCAAGTCATGATAAATCCCATGATCTGCCACCATCAACTGATTTTAAAAAGGTGGAAGAATACTCAGTCTGGTAGACCCGTCAATTTTGTTTCTAAACAGCACAATCCTTTTACAATTTGCCTACATCAGAGGTGGGCAACACCAGAGATTGCAAATAATTTTTTAGTTTTTGTTCATTAAAAGGTGAAGAAAGGGGGGAAAGTACTTAACAGATTTTTTTTTTAATCTGAAGCCTAGAATTGATTTAGTTGGCTTGGAGCAAATGAAACAGCATGAGGTAGGGTGCGGCAGGACACTTGCAGCAAAGCCACTCCACTTTTATCTGATTTATTTGTTGCACCCTATTTCATAGTTTTAAAAGTGTTAAGGTTGACTTTTAATCTAGACAAATTAACAAAGCACTTGGGAAGGAGGAGCTGCTGCTGTATTCCCCTGCTTGGAGGCATGCTTTTAGCCTTGACACAGCAAAACTGAGATAATGACTGCTGGAGTTGCTGAGAAATATTTAGAAATATCCAGGCCTATCCTGCAGTCTCTGTACCACACAACCAAAGGCTTGGGAAGAAAACAGAAAAGATAATTCCATAATATCACTATTCTATCTCCTGGAAATGATGTCCTTGAACACAGAGAGGAGGAGTCTTGGCACGTGTGTAGGATAATGGTATTAACCAGAAGGGGATATAAACTCTTGGACTCTCCCCCTTAATTGCAAATTGTCTTTAAGGAGGCAGAGAGTGCCAACAAAAGTTATTACATTTTACCCTTGAAGGAGGAATTAAATGAGGGTGGAAGATAGTTAGTTGCACCCTATTGGTTCCAGCTTGGACTAGTCCCTGGATCTTAAACAGAACCTCAGTAGCTACAGAGCGAACTCTGATTCTGTTAATTTGGCTACTGAACTTTTTCTTGCTGAGAATCCAACACTCAAAGTGTTAACACAGTATTTTGATAAGACTAACTCCTCTGAAGAGTCAAAGATGAAGGAGCCTTTAGTGCTGACCCCAGACAAAGGAGATGTAATTAAGGAAATAGTTCCAAACTGGTTTTTAACATCAAGTGAAGGCGATTTGACATTGGAAAGCTGGCTACTCTATTCAACGGATGATATCCAGCATATAAAATTGTTCTTAAAGGAAACTAACAAACTTCTAACTACTTTGGTAGATATCTGCAAAAAGTTGTAGCCAATATCTGATAAAGAGGACACTAACAGCAGTCCCAGTACAATCAGAGCTGCTACTATGACAGTTAATAAAATATGTAAGGGAAAAGCTACTAAAGGAGGAAACGCTAACAAGAAGGAAAGTAAAAACTTTAAAACTTTCAAGCCAGATCACTACAAAGAAATGGAATCCAGAAAACTTTTTAAATTATTGGACAATAGTCCAGTAGAGAAAAGCACTAATGGTACTGAGAAACCAATTGCTAATAAGAAAGTAAACTTGAAGAAACATAACCACCTGTCCTTCAATACAGAGGGCCTGTTCACCCAAACGTCTGTAGCATCATCAGCCCAAGTGCAGAAACATGTTATTCAGAACTCACATGGTCATGACTTGCCCCAAACTAGATCCTCACAGGGCACGATTACAGCAGATTAGTTGGCTTAGGTACTCTGCGCCTTGACTTGTGGGGTGTGGAGTCTACTTGCTACTCTGCCTCAGTCAGCAAAAGGCTTTGGAATGACCCTAACTGCTGAATAAACTGGAAAAGTGTCCAGAAATATATGTTTTCAGAAGCTGCTGGGCATGCTCTTCTCTTTCTTTCATGGGGCAAAAACATGCCATCAGTTATGTTCAGAAAATAGTCTGAGTAGGCAGAATGCTCTTTAGAATTTGTCCGCTAAATTAGTTGCATTCTATTCAGTCCAGAGCTCCAGTTCAAACAATTTTAAACATCCTAAAGGAAAACTAGGTACCAAGTGTCAGAAACAAACAAAGAACATGTGCAGGTCTAACATCACATGGGTTTCCAAAAACATTTATAGAGATATTGACAAAAATCTGTTGCACAATTACACAATATAACTTTTAGATGTGAATTGCCATAAATTAATAATTCATAGGCTTTATGTGTTTATCCATAGTCCAAAGGAATTATCTGTTGCACATTGAGTCTACAAAGATTTCTTATATCAGTTTGCTTCCATTTTATGCCATTTGTGTAACTGTGCAACAATATTTCAGCCACTGTATTAGTAAATAAGCTGCAGTTTGAAGCAGCTTCAAATGATCTGCTAAAAATGTTGGTAGGTGCCTGTAAGGAACATAGGCTAGGCTATCCAGCAGTTAGGTCATGATATCTAGATGGGGCACAGGCAGCCTTGCTGTAAAAGAGAATCACATGAGATCTGACCCTTAGCCAAAGGCTATGTGGTTTATAAGGCTGGGAGATCATGGTATGGCACAAAACATAAAATCAGCACATGGCCAGCAAGCAACCTATGCTTTGAGTGCTTGAACCTCTAACCCCACATGGTTCAGTGATCTTCAGTTAGACATCTTTTAATTCCTTTTCTATAGCAAGTATGTACAGCCACTGAAATTGGCAGCCAAGCCTGCTGCCAAAAATATGGAGCTGTATATCTCAAAATTCTGGAGCCCTGTGAGATGTTCTGCGCTGCCATTCCATAGAGTTCTATACGGGAGCAGGATTTGCTGGCACTTTCTTGCAACATAAATAGCTGCTAAAATTGTTCCCAAATGTCAAGAGTAAGTAATTGAAGTGGTGGTAGTGTGGCCCCTAATGACTTCCAGGGGTCCAATGTGCTCCTGCCACCAGGGAAATTGCCCTCCTCAACCTAGGTAGCACTTTCATCAGAAAGACATGTTATACTTGAAAACAATTCAATGCATTGCCCAGATATTTATACCTCTGAATTGCAGTTTGCATTGTTGCTCCCCAGGACTTCTGGAAACACTTTAAAGGGAAAGGCACAAAAGTTGCCCCTCCACCCTTATTTCATCACATCCCATTCTAACTTGTTCATTGTACAATAATATCAATTTATGCTGTTTGGAAGTTGCAGACTCCCTCACCCATCCCCCCCTTCAAATTTGTTGAGATAATTTCAGTGTTTTGTACAAATGCATATGCTTTGAGTGCTTGAACCTCTAACCCCATACAGTTCAGGTGTCTTCAGTTAGATATGCTTCTTCATTGTCATCTTTTACAGTGCCAAAATGCATTTTTTTACATTTGCAGTTCTACCCAATGTATTTAGGGGTTTACTTCTGAATTCTAGTATATATAGGAGACATTTGTACATATCTCATGATGAGACATCTCAGATGGAAGATGGAGGACAAGAAGAGCAAGACTGTCTGCCAGCTGAAAGGAAACAATCCATTTATTCTGCTTGTATTACAGCACAAGAACTCAGTAATATGCATTTGTAGCAGAAAGATAACTTCCAGATGTAGGTGCATGAGAATTGCACAGTGATAAACTGTGCTTGTGATATTCATTTGGCAGTTATGCAGCAGAGATCTACACATCTATAAAGATGCATGAACAAAGATGTAAGATCAAAGGGGATTTAAGTACACCAAGAATATGTCAGCAATGCAATTAGCTTCTCTCATTTGATCACAGTTAATACTGGAAGTATGCTGAAAGTATGGAATGCCTCTAATAATAACTGTGATCAGACAAGACCAAGTCACACTAGTGTATTCAGTTACAACAGTGTTATTTAGTTGTACAGACAAGGTCTTGGAGAGATGCCAATGAAAAGAACAATTTTCATGCAGGAGATTATGATCACTGTATGAAAATCAAAACCACACAGATTTGAAACTGGAGAATACACTACAAAGGTTATTGACTGAAAAAACATATGGAATAATGATACATTCCATCATTTCACCAGGAAGTTATATGAGGTCTATATGGAATAGGAAAGTTAAAATTTTAAATAAAAGTTCTCTTTTTTTTGCCTCCCATAGAAATATTCTGTTATTGCACAGTCTTAATTTACAGTCTTTCCTTACATGATTTAGAACTAACTCTCCAAGTGTCTGGATTTCTCAAAATCATGACGTGATAGGTATTTGATTTATTTGATTTATTTTAAACACATGTTGCTGTGTTTTGTAAAAAGCTGTGTTTGCTTTGCTGAAATAAAAGCATATATTCAGCTGTTCAGGAAAGATTCCCCAGGAAAGAGGACAGCTGAGGACTCCT